GCCGCGAAAAAATCCGCAATAATTATGCATCAACCTAATATATACAAAGACCTGTAGTAAGGTCAACAAACTTTACGATTCAACCTCAATTCAGTAAAACGGTCCGGTTCTTCCTATTGGAGATATCTATGTACAGTTTTGCAGTAATAAAGAAACCTACAGTGTGAGTCTGCCGATTGCGCAGCGGGACGACACCCTCTAACTCGTTGCCTCTTACTGGTTCAACAGGCTTAGGTCGCTCCCTCTCATATCTCCTTTCTTTCGGTCGAGCACCCATTTGCCATAATTCTTTATCTCTTTGCAGCTCTTCATCACTGTACAAGACTGAAACCTCTAAAATGCTCAGAGGACGATAGATAGAAATCGGTGATATTAAAAGATTAAGGATTGAGGATAGCAAAATAGAAAACAGACGTATATGCAGTGAAAACATGAAGCTAACCAGCGTCATCGTTGAAGCCCACAAAGATAATTTCACCCCTCTTTTCAAGGTGGATTGGACGAAATAGCGGCATCGTTAGCCCTTTCATAACTTGGCTCCTGGTAGTCCAGCGCTTTATAACCTAAAACACTTATTAATCAGAGATATATGAATACAATCACTACGCAAATGCGTACAACGTAAGATCGTTATTGTCTGGCCAGTTTGCGGTCCTCAACCCATCCGAATTCTTTTACAAGGTGAAATTTTAAAAATTCTTGTCTTTGGCTAGTTTGTTTTAGCAAAAAACCAATCAACCGACAAGATGAGTATCTTTGCCCAACTACCTCTATCATGCCTAGTCAAAACGATAGACATACATCACCATTCAGAGAATGCGAGCTGAAGTCCATGCCGTACTTCTCCTTATAAAACTCCATAAGTTCTTTGTCTTCACTGTCAGGATTGGTAACCATCTCGCAGTAACGCTTTTGGATCGACTGCCATTCAACCTTAACACTTTACTCACAAAAAACACTCTTGCCTGTCTTAGGAGCAAGCAAGGTTTCTAAAAAAAGAAACAATTCTAGGATCGATAGATCGCGAATAATATACAATAAATACCGAGTACTTTTACCAAACCTTGGATGCTTTGCTTGACAGCAAAGTTTCATCGGACACTTACGTGACGGGTATATTTTGCCGATCTTTTGAAAGACTACTTCCGGTGCGAAGACTACATACATAGTCGAGGAAGTTCGAAAGAAAGGCTTACTTCGCTGCAGGCGGTTTCACAGGCAATACTCAGCTGGAGAAAGAAGCGTAGCTACCAAAAAAACTAACAAGTTACTTTCGAGTTATGCGCGCACATACTCATGAAGATACATCGACAGAAAGTTAGAAATGCTACCTTCGCTGTTTTCTTATCGAGAGCAGGAGATGAAAGGTTTGCTAAAAATCATGATCCAAGTCTTTGCTGTGCTATCAAGACCGATCGAACTGGCACTGAACTCCCGCGCAGTTCGAGATATACCAATAGGAAAGCACCGAACAAGCGCAGAGCGAAAGCAAATTACAAATGCAACGAACCATGCGAAGTCCTCTGTGCTGACGCTCCTTTTCAATCAACTCCATTAAGAAGTTGCATGCCTAGAACTAATTTTCTGTGAACTGCAAACTCTCATGGGAACACAAGAACTAACCACTTTAGATATATAAACGGCTTCTGGTGTATTAGCTTCCCTCTCTTTTTGTGACATCTTCTGCCCCTCTCTAGAATTACGACAGAAAGGCTTTAGAAAATGATTTACAGAGATGGGCCGATGAAACATTGGCTTACCTCCATCTTAACTGCCTCCCACCTCGAATTATCTTTTCATACAATCCTCGTATCGGCTCCGGAGGTACCGCGTGAAACTTAGCCTGACCGTCCATTGTCACAATTTTTGAGAACATGGGATGTTGAAACAGTCTCTCCTAAATATACAAGACCTAGACAGCAGTGATTATTAGCGAATCACAAAAACAAAAATCCAATCCTGAGATCGGGAATGCCTGAGGATAGCGTCATAGCAACATTATTTGCATATACATATGTAGGGCGTAGCTACCTTGAACTTAATCAAGCAGAAGAGAAAATGCATCATCCTACGAAGTTTCGCTCGGTGACCTTCCATTCTTTATCAAAGGGCAGCACCATCCCCAAGGTTGGCTGCTAAGAGCGTCATACTCCTAACTGCCTCAGTTGATGAGATGCGGGGCGACGTTCAGTATTAGCGGCCACCAAAGCGATTCCTTCAGTTTTTTTTTTCGGCTTCAGAGTCATGCCATTAGAACTTAGCAGCGAAAACGATCACCATCAGAATAACATAACGTAACACAAAAATGTGTCGTTAGAGACCCAAACAGTAATTGGGAAAAGCCATTCTAATCGTCTTTTCAGCACTTCTGATCACAAACGATAAAGAGATGGAGTTAAGCCGGGACCTAGCCTAACATGCATGATTCACTGACCGACCCTCTTCGGAACCCGCTCGAGCGGACAAAGATTCACATACTCAGTGTCAGTTAAGTAGTATCATATTGAAAGGAAAAAATAGGCGTGTACATTGAATGATACTGAAAGCTACATATGTACAGACTGAAAACTAACAATACTCTAGTGAATTTTCTAATGATAATTAAATGCACCCCAAAAGAACAATTATTGATGCGGCGAGCCCTGGAAATGGTTCCAAAAATACACGTAAAGTGAGTTATAGATTTGTCGGCATTCATGAGCTATCTGGCACGCCTTTGTCTGAATGGTCAATATGACGCAACACAGCTGCTGGTGAGCCAATACACTAATATATTCGGAAGTGGAAAAGGACTCATTTCTCACAGACTAAACCCAATCAGTGAATGCTCGCAATCTTATGTCCATTACATTCAGCCTCCTTGTCGAGATGATTTTCAACATGCACTTGAGTAAGGGAGAGATTCTGGACGCAAAATATCATAACCAAAATAATGTGGTAACTAGCTATTCCCGCCAGCGGTATTCTACGCTATTTGCAAGAAATCGCAAAAGAAAAATCCAATTAAACCGTAACTGAGGAAACTGACAAGGTTCATTGTGATCTTTTTGAATTCGTTTTCGTCTTCTTTAGTGGCTTTCCTTCCAATAGTATATAGATCCATGAACCCTCCAGTAATTTCTCTGAAATCCATAACAACGACGGCTGCAATGGGAGGAGAGAGAGGGAATAAAGGAAACTTACTCAGCATTTCTATTAACCAGATCCGCTCTTATGCATCCATCTTCGTCGACCTGCTTTGGACAGCAAAGCATTGCGCACATCAGATGTATCCGTAACTGGTCCTATTATAAAATCAAGGATATTTCATAATAATCGAGTCACTGTTGAGTTCTACTAATGATTAGACGGCCACGACTGAAGAAACCCGTTTCAATTGTCGCCATTACTCTCGAAAACTACGATAACACATGATTTTGTTTGCTTTGCCAACAGATCAGCAACAAGCCTCTCGAAATTGACACAAACACCTTTCCCCCCTCCCCTATTAAATTGAAGTTTAGCACAAGTTTGCTAAGCCTAAAATTTGACTCAGATTTGTCTGGGAAATGAGCTAAAATTGTCCAACCCTCACGTAGCTTTACTCAAAGCATTCGAGCCAATTTGGAGTACTTCTTAAGTAGGAATCATCTGGAAAATGCTTTACTCTGTTACTTACCTCATCTTCGTAATCAAATCTGAAGTTAGGGATATTCAAAGACGCGATATACTCGTCTGTAGGCATAATGGTGAATGAAGACATTTCGATCTGAAAGAAAAGAAGGTTCCCATCAGAGTCCCAATTAAAACGAGAAAATTGAAGAAGATTAGAATTTACGCTGGAACTCTTGAATCCACCGTTGTACCGTAGACTCAAGGGCATTCTGTGTAAATCACGTACTAAATTTCTCGGCTACGGTTTACTCGGAAATCGCCTCTTCGCCCCATAATCATTCACTTTATCAATGTTATACTGGTTGAAATCATCTCACTTTTCTCTATTTGATCAGGTTTCTTCATTGACTAGAGTATTTCTCGAAGGGACGTAAACCAGACCTTTCTTTGTCTCAACTCTCCTAAGTAAACCGTGAAAAATCGGAACCAATGTTAGTCAGAGTCCCAAGGTATCAAAAATCAATCGGAACAACTGTTATTCAGACTATTCAACTTGTTGAACCAATTTGTTCTATGGACAAATGATTATCCGTCTATTCCCACGAATTTTACTTGGATCCACATGCTCACGTCTTCCCGGCTCTACATTCCCCTCATTTAGGTGGGGGATTTCGTTTGCTGCCACGTGCGTTTTCGTATTTTGGTTTAATCCTTATACATAGCTAGAGCATTTTCCATTTTCTTAGCTCTAGATAATTTTCGAACCCATTTTTTTCAGAGAGGTTGATCAACCCTGGGTCACAATCGTTCATAGTAACAGAGGTCTTGTGTGGTCTTTCTGAATTCTTCTTTAGGATGTTTTGTGCGTTGATTTTGCTACAAATCAGGACGGGAACCCGAATCTTCAAGGGAACTTGGGGTGGAATAGAATACAATGGACACAGAATTTCACAGACAGCATATCCCATTTCATTTTATAACTTTGTTTGGAATTACAACTCTAAATCCGCTACATGTAGCTACGTCAAAAAAGGACTTTGGAGGAAAACTGGAGGTGATGGATCTTATTGCCACCAGGCTGTGGTGCACTTACATTAGGCCTTCTATTTGGACCTCATGGCTGTATTACTACAGATATCGAGTAGGCGGGTTCATAGTTCCTGCGCTCTGACGTAGAATTGTGCGTCGGAACGCACAAACTATGACCCGCCTACTTGGTCTCTGCAGTAATCTACGTTAAAACGAAGATCTGTGAATGCGCCCAGCTCCCTTGTTTGTCTTTCGC